GTGAGCTCCTGCCCCTGATGACTGGGAGTCAACAAAACTGAAATATTCAGTGGTTCAAACAGATCTAACTGCTGTCTGAACCCTACGTATTTTAATAAGGAATATTACTAGCCATTTTTTAAAATGAGAAATTATTACTTCCTCTGTTTTTCCATTCCAGGTCAATAAAGAAGCACCAATTTCCGAGTCTTTCCATCAGGATATACATCTAATTAATTCCAAAACTCAATTTGCCCCCACTGGGGATGATGGGAGAGAAACAGCTTAGAAAATCCATGTGAATTTCTAAATTATAATTGAGGATGTGAAGTTTGGAATTATTTTTTCAATTTGAATAAAAAATAATCCTATTTTTCTCTCATTAAAATGAATTTGATATAAAATGACAAAATGAAAAAAAGGTTGGAGACAGATTACATCTACTTCCTGACAAGAACAAAGCGAAAAGCCCCTCTGGTGTTAGTATAAGAAAAAGGCCTGGAAACTCTAATACCCTTTAGTTTAAGAAAAAGGCCTGGAAACTCTAATCCCCTCTACCTAAGTGAGTAATATTTCGGTAAGCTGAAAGTCACACAAGCACACCCAGTTCATAAAGTACAAACAGTGTTGCTATTGTACAATGTGCTTAACACACATCAGATCCTCTCTCTCTCTCTCTCTCTCTCTGGCACAATGGCCACTGAGACAGACTGTTCATGTTACTGACTTTGTATTCCATAGTAATAATCTCAAAATTGGAGACACCTCCCTTAGTCTACCAGAGAACTACAATTTTCAGCTCAGCATCAAGCTTGCTACTTCCACCTGAGTTAGACTTTTGAAAATCTGTTTGACGGTTGAAAGGAAAACCTGACATGGAGAACATCTAATGATAAAGAAAGAAGAGAAAGAGAAAATCTTAAGCAGCAAGAAGAGGAGAGAGGGGGTAAGATAAGGGGAGGAAGAGTACAGTTGATAATAAAACCGGCTGCTTGGGTGTCAAAGACGATAACAGTGGGGAGAAACGTGGCCAGGCTGTCAAGAAGTACTGAACTTTTAGACAAAAATATCACCCATCAACCAGAGACTTCAGAATTACAAGGGCCCAATTAATACCCGTTAAATAGAGCTCTTCACTTTCTCTGCTCAGAGCTCTGAGGCTTAGCCAGCTTCAAATCTCCTTGACTGCTCACACACCAGGGTCACTAATATCTTACTTCCAGAAACTATAACTTGGTCTTTGTTCCTCCCGACTCTCACAGTGTGAGGCTTCCCCCGATTTCCTCCCAACCTGAAGTTTACAGCACTGCATTTCCCTTTCGCGGCCCAACCTGGCCTCCTGGCGTGACACATCTACCCCGGAACACAACTCCGAGCTCTGTGAAAATTTCAAAGACCTCTTTACAATGAAGTAAGAAAGTCTATTAAATCAGTCTATACCCACTTCTTGCCTCAGAAAAAAAGTGCTTTGCCCTTATACTTGCTTAAGTAGCTGTTCTCTGGCAAATGTGAAGAAAGATTATTATTAGATTACATTCAACTTATTTATTCCAATGACAGATACTGGCCCCCCAATGCAGACTGACCCTAACAATTTTAAGTACATATCTTCCTCAATGTTTCTTTGCTTAAAGCAAAGAAAAACTGTCTGTAAAGACAGACAATACATATAAGATTCTCCAGCCTCATACATGCCTCCTTCTGCTCTTTGGAACCTGCTAACAAGTTCAATAGTTAATGTGTAGCCTCCTTTCATTACCTAGGAATTTTAATAGACGCTTGATTGTTAGTGATAATAGGACCAAAACAAACAAAAATAACCCACACAAGATGACCTACTAGCAATAAGCACAAACACAAGCCTGAGAACCCTAATTTCCTAATTTAAGTCTTTACTGGGAACTGGTCCTTACACTAAAAAATGTAAGTTACTCTGACCTTAAATTAAAAGTGGAAGACTTCCCTGGTGGCGCAGTGGTTAAAAAATCTGCCTGCCAATGCAGGAGACCCAGGTTCAAGCCATGGTCTGGGAAGATCCCACATGCCTCGGAGCACCTAAGCCCATGCGCCACCACTACTGAGCCTGAGCTCTAGAGCCCGCAAGACACAACTACTGAGCCCACGTGCCACTACTACTGAAGCCCGCGCACCTAGAGCCCATGCTCCACAACGAGAAGCCACCGCAATGACAAGCCTGCGCGCCACACGAAGCCTAGCCCCCGCTCACCACAACTAGAGAAAGCCTGCGCATAGCAACAAAGACCCAACGCAGCCATAAATAAATTAATTTTTAAAAAAGTGGAAGAGGAATTAGACAATAAATATATTTTTATCATCCCTGGCCAACTGTTTTATATTCCATTCTGATGTTATTATAGTTCATAATACATTGTTGTTTTATTATATCCATGATATTCCTGATGATACCCGGAGGCCTTGTCTTTGTGTCTCCAGGGGCCAATAAATGTTAATTGTTCAATACATGTCTGTTAAATTATCAAAAGAATAAATGGCATCAGATGGGTGAGACAACAAGGATCTAGGACTTCTAACTCCTTACATTTGGTACAGTCAAATACTCCCTGCCTCTTCTTTTCCAAAATATTTTATTAAAACCAGAGGGACTCACATGATAAAGATGACAACAATATTAAGGCAAAAGGTCTTCCCTTTCTGCCTCAAACACTCAACTCTTTAAAGGTGTCACTCCCTGTCCTTATTAAAGCACAGAGGTTTCACAAAGACACTGTCCTCCACTCTCACCAAGCCAACATCCAACTTTCAACCTTATACAAGTACTAAACTATCTTACTCCAAAGCTAAATAACTAAACTCACACTATGTGTACTTCAGTCAAACTAGGCCAGCAAGACTGTGCAGTAAGCGATGTTCTTTTTAGTAAACTCAAAGTTTCTCATTTTGTGATTAGTTCCCAGTAATGCTACCTATATAAACAGCAGCTTTCTTGGAAGGGAAGAACTGGAAGACAAAAAAGTCTTCCATTAGAACCTTCCGGACAGTACCAAGAGAAGCTGAGAGGGACTTTTAAGCTCACAGAAAGGGCATAAGTATGGCAGCAGACATACACAGTAAGGAAACAGGGAATAAAGATGTCTTTGATTCCACAGCACCCACCCAAGCTCTTAGCACTATAGGTCAAGTAGAAAAGATGCTGCTTTGTATCAATAGATACGACTCTCTAACCTCTAACCTTCACTTCACTGAGTCAAAACTGAACCAAAGCTGCTTAGGAGCTCTGTGGAGTATTCCAAGGGATCACCGCTGATTTCCTAACAGTAGAGGAAGATTAGATTAGAATTAGAATTAGAATGGGGAAGATTAGAAGCTTCCCCATTCACTACCAGAAGTGCTGCCAGGCTGCCCAGAAATTCCCCGCCCAAGTCCCAGCCATCCGGGAAACATGAGAAACCAAGAATGCTGTAATCATGGCCTTTTTGGTATTGGGTCCAAAAAAAACTGTGTCTAGGCCAAGACTGTAAATGAAATATCATCCAATGAAAAACTAAACAGTCAAAGAAGTTTTCATTTACCCAACACAGCTATCATGGACAGACCCAGTACTGTATAGAGGAAGTTTCCAACCTTATTTAATGATAAACACCCAGCAGAAAACCTCTAGTCACACGTTAACTATACTATAGCCTCAGATCATGAATGACGTGGATGGAAAACAGGCCTAAGGGTTCATTGGCAATAGGCTCACAGGATTTTGAAGAAGGATAAGTAATAAGGTCAGAATTCTTTTAGTGTGGAATCTTTTAGGGGGAAGAAGGTACTTGTAGGTAATAATAAAACTCTTAAATGCCAGGAATTGTTCTAAGCACTTTAAGAATATTAACACATTTAATACTCACCACCAACTCTTTAAGATTGATATTATCAACCCCCATTTTAAGTATGTGGAAACAAAAGAACAAAGAAGCACCTTGCTCAAAGGTTTACAGAGCCAAGAAGTGCTGCAAACTAGTCGGGGTTCAGATTCCACTGGAGTCAAGGTAGAAACACAGTGTCCCCTGGTTTCACCAATATTCACTAGAATTATGACCTCTGGAAACCCGTCTCCTCTTGCCTCCCCTTCCATATAATTTTTGCTTTTGCTTTTCACTTTAAAGAGATGTCACATTCCCTTAACTTCATAACGCTCCTTTGAAAGCAGTGCACGATATGAGAGTATCTTCACTTGACACACAGGAAATTCCAAGCCCAGGTTCCCCAACTTCTCCCCCAATGATGCTCTTTGAAATAATCTGATATATGAAGGGAATTTGGGGAAACCAAGTGAAAATGAACCCAAAGGCGTAACATCAAAAAAATTAGCATAGCTTTAAAAGCAGGGACATATGAAACCAAACAAATGGAGAGCTGCCACCCCACTCACATACCGTGCACAATAATGCTCCCTACAAAGGTGCCTGGAGCCTGGAGGCTGCACAAACAGTCCTAAAACCAATCTACACACAAGTACTCAGCGGCCTGCCCAGGCCCCTCACACGAAGGCGCTCCCTGGATGTCGGCTGAAGTAAAATGAATTCTTTTGTTGAAGTGGGGCGAAGGGAAGCCCAGGGAGCAGACGGGCGCCAGGTCTCCGCAGATAAGAAGGCGGCCGCGGGGACCTTGCCCCGTGGCCGTCGGCCTCTTCCGCGGCGTGAAACGGGGTCAGCGCACCGTCGATCACGGGTCCCGGCCCCGCGGCTGGTCCGGCCGGGGGTTCGGCCATTTCTCTTAGGCCGCGAAGAGAAAGGGGTGAGGCCGCTGCAACCTCTGGCGTTTTCTTCCCGCCCCCCCGCTCCCTCCTCTCGGTCTTCCTTCGAATAATGCGGCTCCATCTGGACCCCGCGCCCAGGCCCTCAAAGCCCGTGCCGCCCCTCGCAGCCCCGCTCGGCGCCCCGCACGCCCCATTCTGGCCCCGGCGCCAGCTCCCAGGGCAGCCCTCCATCCGGGGAACCCGCGGAAAGCCGGGCGTCCGCGTGACCTCTGACCTGCCCTGCACCCCACCTTACCGGCTCAGCAACCACCTGACAGTCTGTCCCCGCGCCAGAGGCTCCATACCCCTGGAACCAGTGCCACGCCAGCCTACCCCCTACACGCCCCGCGATTGGCCGACAGGACCGCAGCTGCACCTTCCTATTGGCTGGATTCTCCGTATTCCCCTCGGCTGCCGGCGAGCAAGGCGGGCCGACGGCAAATTCCGGGGCTCCGCCCTCCCCAGGTCAGGCTGGAGGCGGGGCCACGGCGGCCCGGGCGGGAGCTGTCTCCTGCAGAGCTAGTGCTCGCGCTGGTCCAACCCACAGTGTGGGTTGGAGTCTTCCACCCCGCTGGCAACCTGCAGACACGTAAGTTTCCTGCTGTAATTCGCCGCGGCCTCACGTTAGGTCCTGGAAATCAAGATCATTTCTTCTGAGACGCGGCTCTGTGAGAGATACAGCTCCATCCTACAAAGTATAGCCACCTGGCAGGACCATTTCCTCTCGGCCCCAGAGCCACGTCATAGTATCTGCTGCCCCACCAACAGCACCCCACACCTGGGAGGAACCGCGAAACATCAGCTAGTGCAGCCATTTCGGCTGCATCAGTTGCCCTATTCCCAAGCTTCGGTAATGAATTGTTTTCCGCTCTCCTACGCAGCTGCCTCACTTCTTCCCCCAAACTTTATTCTCCATCTACCCAAAAGTAGTCCCACTCCATCCGCAGTTTCAATCTCACATACCAGAGTCTTTCTCTGAAGATGATGACCAGACTTGTGGTGCTTTAGAGTGGAGAAAATAGTCTGACTAACCACCCTAATTTTCTACAATGTCGTTTAGAGCTAACAGAAACATTCTTAGACACCCCTCTCCCCGCGCCCCCCATCGCCCCCATAACTGCTTTCATTAAAGGTAACCAAGCTTATCTAACCAAGTCATAGGCCTAGAGAGGAAAAGCATAAACCCCTCCAACATCTTTCTTCCTGTAAAAACTGCTAGGAGAAATTTTTATTAGTTGGTAAAAGAGTCCAAGAGAAGAGGAAAGGAGAGTAAACTGCAAAAAGGAAAATCCAAATAAAGTACAAAGTAAAAACAAATTCAAGGACCCAAAAAAACTGGGCTGAGCTTCATCAGTTATCTGGTACAGGCTAGTTTCCATACAGAATTTCTCCTAGAGAGAAAAGAAAATGCACAAATTAGTTCTGAGAATCTCTCTACAGCACATATGGGGAGTTTCAGAAAGGCTTGATGAAGTCCCTCCAGACCAGAACCTTTCCTTTGGGAACTTCTACTGCAACTAGAAAATAACATGGCTGGAGCCATCCTTCTCTCGTTCCAGGTCTGCTCAGGTGGGCAACTTCCCTGGGCTGTTGCATACTTACTTGCTGGCTACTTACTTAGCTCTATGTGTGGAGCTGCCTCCTTCTTAAGCTGTTTCTTCATTGTGCAGGCTGGGTTTAACTTTTCCCAGTGCCGGCTCCTGTCTCCTGCCTCTATATATGCAGACAAATGTGCCTCCCTTGGTTAGATAAGGGCACTTTAGGCTGCTCTGGGCAGCACATTGTTAAAGACACCGCATGGAATTTCAAGAAGCAAACCACACCCTTCAAAGCATAAATTTCATCTTTGACCTCTCATGAAAAGGGAAGCATATATACCTGCCACTCCTGGGTATTGATGAACAATGAATTGCATTTGAAAACTTTTATTCTAAGATTTCATCTCTGTCTCATTTCACAGGAGCTAGAGGCAGGCCTGTGTGTGCCAGTGGTTGAAAGGGGTGGAGAAAAAGGAATTGCTTTCCTTCAGGACGCCACTCCCCTTGGAGCGAAGCTGGTTTGGGCACTTGAACCAGGGCTCCATGTGCACTAGGACTCTGCTCCCCTGAGACGTAAGCTGAAACCAATTAACCCCAAGCCTGACAGTCCAGATATTTTCCACATAGGTATGTGCAGCACCAATGCAATTATAGGCAGTCTCAGAGTATGGGTGAAAATGCCAACCAGTCCATCCCTTGGGATCGGAAGGACCCGCTGGCATCAGCCTGGTCAATCAGTGATCCACAGGTGGACAACAAAGCCACACAAACCCAGGACTCTGTTCCTGATGTCAAAGGGAAAAAGAAAAAACACCTGAGACTGACAAAAAAAAAAAAAAAATCCAGAGCAAGCCAGGATTTCTCAATCCAGGAAGAGAGGAGCTAGAAAAAAAAAGGGGGGGGGGAGCGTGGAATTTGCCTCAGACAAATATAGTTTAGTACGCCAGCTGGAGGCAAAGCTGGAAAGGAGAGGCATTGGAGTGGGGTGAGGAGAATGGGTAGGATACTGGAAGGAGGACCTTGCTGGCTTCAGGAAGTTTTCTGGTAGTTTTAAGGAAAATCTGCTTTAAAAACATATGCAATAAATGTGATAGAAAAAATTACGTTAGAATGGAAAAGAAAGAAAAGCAGCAATCAATTCATATCCATCTTCTAGCAAGAGGCTCTAGTGCCTACACAGAACAGCCATAGAGTCAGTAGAAGGAACTATGGATCTTCTGTCCTCGACCCAAGATGAAGATCTCTTCATTCAAGTACTAAAAGTCATCTCATTACAACTTGACCTATCTCTTTGTCCTTGTTCTACAGCAGACAAGTTCCCTAAGGCAAAACTGCCTTAGAGGGCTTCCCTGGTGGCTCAGTGGTTGAGTGTCCGCCTGCCGATGCAGGGGACACGGGTTCGTGCCCTGGTCCAGGAGGATCCCACATGCCGCGGAGCGGCGGGGCCCATGAGCCATGGCCACTGAGCCTGCGCGTCCGGAGCCTGTGCTCCGCAACGGGAGAGGCCACAACAGTGAGAGGCCCACGTATCGCAAAAAATAAAAACAAAAAAAACCGCCTTAGATTGGGGCTCAATTTGTTCCCCTTCATGGGAAAGTAGAAGAAAAAAAGAAGAAATATGAAATCACCCATGAACTAACCTGTTGCAGGAAAAGGCCCTATTTTGGTTTAGGACTTCCAAAATAGGAATGCATTTTACAATGAGACTCTACCATAGCCCCCTGTATTGCCTCAGGAATTGCTCCCAACGTACACACTCCACTCTTTCCTACTAGATCCCCACTGTTCACTTATAGTAACTGACAACATTAATGGAATTCTTATTATGTATCAAACCCCATATTTAACACGTTATAAACAGGAATTAATCCTCGCAATAAATTTGTGAGGCAAGAACTGTAATCTTTATTTTGCATATTAGGAACCTGAGTCTAAGGGAGGTTAAGTAACTTGCCTAAAGACACACAGCAAGTTAGTGACAGAGCCAGGCTTTGAACACAAATTGGTTAGATGCAAGAGCCAGCACTCCAACTACCATACCATAATGCCTCCATCTTACACACCTAAAACAATTCCCTTCCATTCAAATCTCTAGCTCGGAAATGATCTCTTTTATAAAATCCTATTAATGTAAATTCACTGAGCATTCCACATTACCACGATAGCCAACTGATTTCTAAATAGATGTGAATATGTATCTGCATCATGTGTGCTCTTTATTTAAATAGGAGACTTTTCCTCCCATAGTCACCTCCCATCCATTCTCCAAGTATTCTTTTTCATGCTTTTGTTTTCCCTGAAACAACTGTCTGAAATTCACTCCTTCCAACCCTCCCTTTCTTTCGGAAGACGCAGGCAACAAAAAGTGCCCATCAAACTGAGAAAGCACCTCGAGACAGAAAAGCAAGGCAGGCAGCTCCATATAATCAATGGATCAGTTTATTATATGGTAACTTACTCACAGGGTGGGATTGGGCAAATAACGATCCAGAGGCATTCGCAACTGCGCTCCACACCACCAAAGGGCCATTGGGACAATTTTACAGTTAACCTAGGGTGTGGGGGTAGGTGCTCGAAACAGGATGTGCATTCCTAAGCCAAGATTTATGAATGGGTAACAAGTCTCGAGGGAATACATCAGCGAAGGTTGTCGTCATTGTTTGGGGACCAACAGAGCATCGGGGCCACCTGGTCCTAATGATTATAAAAAAATATCTATTAACTACAAACCACTTGGTAACAGGGAAGTGATTCACGGCACAGTACAGTCCTGGGTTGGGTCAGGGGAAGGACAAGAGGAACTGTAAGGGTCAAGATGGCGTCAGTTACGCTAACAGCCATATACCTTCCTTACCTGGAAAACTCATTATTGTTGTAGTTACTGCTATTGTTATAGCTTCCACTAAAATATCCCAGTGTTGGAGCATTCCCTGACTCCTCCAGGCAGCATTAGCTCTACATTCTTTCTGTCTGCTACCCAAACACTCCTTACTCTACTCTAGCCCCAACTCATTCTGAATATATTTATTGAAAATAACTACACACCAGGCAGAGGATGGGTGGTACAGATACAACACAAATAAGATAAGCACAGCCCCTTAGTGGGTTAATATTTGTGTGCTTTCTTCTCCCACTAAAACGTGAACTTCTCAATAGGGGCGATTATCTTATCTTTGTACACCAGGTGCTAACAAAAGCCAGATACATAGGAGGTGTTCCATAAATATATTACCCCATTTTTTAATATGTTATGGCTGTCAGGCAATGAAGACAAATAACTAGGCTATATCTGTTTATATTTATGTTTCTATTTCCAAAATTGAGTCTTCCTCTATCCTGAAAATATTCTTCCCTGTGATAATGCTGGAATGCACAGGAAGGATCCCCTTTGAGAAAGAAGGACTTATTACCCCTGTTTGGAGTGGGGATGCTGCTGGCCTCAGGCCTCACGTCAGGACCCTTTCTCAGGCAGCCCACATCAAATGACTGATCTATGTGGGAATGTAAAGATTCATCCCTCTCATCCCAACCGGGACAGCTCTGAAGGTTGGCTAAGCCTTTATCCTGTATCACAGCTCAACTTCTCCTGTGCAGACTGCTTCCTTCCCCTCCCTTAGTGTCTATCCCAAGATCACTTCCTAATAAACATACTGCCTCCATCTTGGAGTTGGCTTCCCATCCTACTACTTTCTGTATCCGGAAATTAATGTGTCTGAAAAAGTGATCTGCACTCCTCTACTTCCTTAACACTCATTTTTCCACCATTTTGTGATCCACCCTAGAAATTACTTTCTCGTTAGCTAATTGAGATCATCATTGCCAAGTAGAGTCAGAACCC